CATCAGCAAGTGCTCCAGGTCGCCATCACTGTCAGCAAGGAAGGTTGCGTCCTCTGCATACTGCAGGCTCTTGATAAGCCTTCCCCCATCCTGATGCTGCTTTCTTCTTCATTCAATCCAGTTTCTCTGATGGTTTGCTCTGTACACAGATTGAATGAATATGCTCATACATACATAGCCATTCTTAAACAAGAACTTAATTTTCTGTGGAAACTTCCACCAATAATATAAGAAAAAGATTATGTAATTAATAAACAAAACTAAGAACAAGAACACAAGAACATCATCTCAGAAAAAAGTGTTCTTTTTCCCTCTAACCTTGTTTTCCCACGTACTAGTTATGTGATCTTAGATTACAAAGGCCACATGTAGTAAACCCCACCCCACCCCACCCCCCGACACACACACACACACATTAAAGTGGCAAAATTTGTAACATCCATTAAACAAGTCTTTATTAAACAAGTTTTTATGCTACTGAGAACCAAGAGGGAGGGAAGACAGACAGCTTACCATTCACAACAGCAAAACACAAGGTAATTCAGATATATCAGGAGTGCTACCAGAGAAGATTGGAATGCCCGCTTTCCCTTACAGAGACTTTGCACAGGCCATTAAATCTGAACCTCAATCTCTAGATTTGAGTAGGAGTTTGCCATATGTAGACTTTCCTAGTAGAAAGAATTAACAGTCACCAGTAAACTAAAACCCATTGGATTGGCATTTAAATTATTTATTTCTGAAAACATGATTGTAAATCATAAACCCCAAACTTTTTTTCTTCTTTTTTTGTGCAGAGGTTAATAATTTTATGAGGATGTAAAAAATTATTTTCTAGAAAAGATCATTAAGAAATTTCAAAGAGTTGAAAAAAATATATATGCAAATTTATATGCCTAACTTGATATTTGTTCAGCACAAAAGGCACTTTAAAATTTTAAAGTAGCTGTTTGTTAATTCAACAATTTTTATGAAATCCATCAGTCCTTATAGATTTTTTAATGTGTTTTATTCTGCTCCATTGTGTGAGCATTTAAGGATGTTCTCATTTATTTTACAGAGTTTAATTCTTGTGATTGAGACCACTGGAGCAATAAGAGCTTGTCACTTGAAATTGCTCATACTTTACACTAATATACAATTCCATTTATCTACACATGGGGATCCATAACCAGTCTAATGAGCAAATGACATTTTTGGTATGTATTTTCCAACTACGACATTCCAAAACTGTTTTCTGCTGTTCCTTTCCATTGAAATAAAGATGAGAGCACGTATTGTCGAAGGCAACTATT